ACTTGAGCATTCTCATTTGACTTGCTTCTGCCTACCTGGGCAGAAGTCTCCACAAAAGAAGCTAGAAAGTAAGGGAATTTGTAAAAAACAGACAAAAAGAATCACAAGCACAGAGAAAATTGTGGAAGATTTGTTTGAAGAAAGCTTCTTTTGTGGAGACTTTTGCCTTTAGATTACGAGTTTATTGAAAGCAGGGGCTCTATCTCATTCATCTTTGTGTCCTAGTGTTTAAAAGAGTTCTTAGCACGTAATTGGTGCTTACTATATGCTGGTGAATGTTGATAGGGCAACATGGATGGCTAAGAGCACAGGTTTTGGAATTGAACAGATCTTCTCTGCCACTAGGAGCTCTGGTATCATAGTGCCTAAGGCACTTGACTGCTAACCAGAAGGCTGGCAGTTCAGACCCAGCAGCCACTCCTCGGAAGGAAGGTTGGGCAATCTCCTTCCGTAATGATACTGCCTCGGAAACCCAAGGAGGGGTCGCTATGAGTCGGGTCCGATCCATGGCAAATAACAACAACAACAACCTCTGCCACTAGAAGTCCCTGGGTGGTGCAAACCATTAAGTGCTTGACCACTAACCAAAAAATTAGTAGTTAACACCCACCTGGAGACACTTGGAAAGAAAGGCCTGGCTATCTTCCTCCGAAAGATCATAGTCCTGAAAACCCTGTGGAGTGCAGTTCTACTCTGCAATACACTGGATTCCCATTAGTTGGAACCCATTCAACGGCAAGTGGTTTGGTTTTCTCCTCTGCCACTTACTTGCTAACAGACTATAAACAAACTAAGCCAGTGATTCTCAACTCTTGCTACACATTAGAATTACCCAAAAGACTAAAAAAAGGGTTCAGGTTCCAATTAATCAATTAATTGTGAATTAACTTGGAATTTGTAGGGGGTAAAATTTGGATGGGGGAGGGTGGGGTCTAGGCACTAGAACTTTTATTAGCTCTGAGTAATCCTAAGGGGGTCTAGCGGCACAGTGTCGAAGGCATTTGATTGCTAACCACAAGATCGGGGGTTCAAGCCCGCAAACTGCTCTGCAGAACAAAGATGGGGCAATCTACTTCTATAAGGATTTATAGCCTTTGGAAACCCAATAGGGGTCACTATGAGTTGGAATCGACTCGATGGCAATGGATTTTTATGGGTAATCCTGAAATGCAGCCAGGTTGAGAACCACTCTTCTTAGCCTTACTTTCTCACATGCTGTTGGTATCTATTTTAACAGGTTGAACAGAGGAAATGAAACTGTATTTAGTATAGCGCCTGGCATATAACAAGTGCTCAATCATGATGTTAATGTTGTTGTTATGTGCCACCTAGTCAGCCTTGACTCACAGCAACCCCTCCTTGGGGTTCCGAGGCGGTATCATACAGAAGTAGGATTGCCCAACCTTACTTCCGAGGAGTGGCTGGTGGGTTTGAACCGCCAGCTTTCTGGTTAGCAGTCAAGTACCTTAGGTACTATGCTACCAGAGCTCCTATGATGTTAATAGACAACCTCAATTTGTAACCTTTTTCCTTTTCAATTTCTACCCTTCAGCTACTTGATCTTCCTTTCAATTCTGGAAAAGCGCTAAGATTTCCCTGCTCTAGTGCCCTCACACATGCTCTTTACTCTGCTCTGAGCAGAGCCTTCTCAATCTTCAAGTTACATCTTAAATATATAGTCTCTAAGTCCTCCCCTTTGTACTTCATCATAGTACCCTGCTCACCATCCTCATAGAACTTGTCTCAATTTATGCTTACATATTTATTTATCTTCTTGGTTTCAAACCCACCAGCCACTCAACAGAAGCAAGACTACTTCCATAAGCGCAATCTACTTCCATAAAGATTTATGGCCTCAGAAACCCAAAGGAGGTTGTTATGAGTTGGAATCGACTCAATGGCAGTGAGTTTTTTTAATTATTATTATTTATTTACCTATATACTGTGTGTCTCCTATACTAGACTGTAAACTTCACAAGGACAAGGGGCTTTGTTTGTTTTGCTTTCCTCCTGAAATTCAGTGCTGAGTGCCTGGTACATGCTGGGTGGTCAGGTAATACTTGTTTAAGGAATGAATGCATTACTAAATGATTCATACTATCATCTAGAAAAGGCAAAATTCCTTACATTTTTAAGTGCCTCAACCATCTTTATCACTGCATCCACACAATGCATACAACAAAAGTAAAACAATAAAAAGCTATGATTGCATCTAGAGTTTTGGTTTCTAGCTATTGACTAGGTAAGAAAACTGCAAACCGGTTTTTGTTTTTGTTTTTTAAATTTTGGGAAGTCTTCCAAGTCTAAGGGTCACAGACGCTTACTGTAAGACTTAAGTCATCAGTTCTTTGTCAATAATTAATGTTAGTCTAACAATATCTCACCTCAACAAGGCAAATAAACTTTTGCAGGTGTTTATATTGGCTAAGTAAAGGGTTTTTATTTTTGTTTTTTAGTTTACCTTTGGCCCATTCAGCTGGGAGACTAAGTCACAGAATTGTTAAATCATTGATATTTTTACTTCTGCCAAGGACCTCAGAAATCATCTAGATAAATCCCTCATTTTACAGATGAGAAAAAGTAAGCCTAAAAAATTTATTTATTTGCCATGATTACATACATGCAGTCACAGAGCTGAAATACCACCTGGGTTCCAAGAATCCTTCACCAGCATTCAATCCACGGTATTACATGAACTTCAGACTAACCCGAAGTTATTCTGATTTCTGAAAGTTCATAATTAATATTCTGGCATCAGTTAATTTGAGATTTTAATTTTTCCGTGATAATAATAAAAATTTAGTCCAAATTCATGAGTTTGGTATTTGGAAAGTACATGTCTTGCCATACATCCTTCCACATTCCAGGCTCTTGCAGCAGTTTCAAGTTTTCCCAACCCTGAGCTCCTACAAATGAGCTCTCATCCTCATCATCATGTCCCTACTTAAAACCAATGACCATTCAAAAACCGCATCTTCCATGAAAACTTCCCTCAAATCTTCTAATCAGGAGAACAAATGGTCCTTTCTAAAATTTCTCCTAAGGATTTTATATCCTGCCTCTACTATAGCAGCCATGATGGCTTCGGATGCAAGAAGCTGAGGAACTGGTGCCACGTGGTTCTTAACTTTTTAGATCCTGTACCTCCTTGTAACCAATACACATTTAAACTAAAATAAATGACTCTCTAGGGTACAGTTTTCCATAAAGATTTTCTTGAAGATAATTTCTAAGTGTTTGAAAAATCTGGGTGACGGGTATATATGAGCTGTCTGCATAGGACTCACGTAGCCTCAAAGAGAGCCATGATGTCAGGACATTTTGAAGTTATTGCCTCTTTTATGGTACTTTATTCTTTTCTTTTTAAAATTCCTCATCCACTCAATATAATTGGCCCAAACATTTTTTATTTTTTTACTGGCATTGTAAAACACACAGGAGAGAAACTTAGAGCTAAAGGAAATGTTAGAGACAATAAGATGGGCTATATAAATACTTGCATAGACACTTCTTGTTGCAAATTAGTTCCTCCTTCAATTTTCAAAAATAAATATACTGATAAACAGTTCAGAAAGATTTTTGACAAAATGTCCATCTTGTAGTTTATCAGCTCAAAGCAAAAGAAATCAGAAGCCTCACCAACTTCCACTCCTTTTTAAAAATATTAAGCAATCGACAGGACCAGATTTCATCTAAGGCGCTCTGGTAGCCGAGTGCCTAAGGCACTTGACTGATAACCAGAAGACTGGCGGTTCAAACCCACCAGCCACTCCTGGGAAGGAAGGTTGGGCAATCTACTTCTGTAGTGATATAGCCTCCTAAACCCAAGGAGGGGTCGCTATGAGTCGGATCCAACTCCACCGCACATAACAACAACAACAACAACAAATTTAATCTAAAACTTCTTTGAGGACCATTCTGACCGCATTCAGAATACTTTGGGTTAAGCTGCCTAAAAAAAATGATATGTAACCCAATAATACAGCAAATGCAAGGGATTTTGGTTTTGTTCTTTAAGATTTGCTTTTATTTATTTATTTTTCTGAGAAGGAAGACACCTTCCTTCCAAATTGCCCTTTGGTAATTTACATATTGTATGTTTATGAACTGATGGCATCACTTAAATTCACAACATAAGTTCACTTGCACATTCCAAAAATCTGTTTGGGTTGTTTCGTGTTCTAAAAGTATAGTTTCACATTTAATGACAAGGTAAATGAGGTTTTGTATTGTCTCTATTTTGATTAAATGTTTAAAGCCCTTCCTGTGAAGACAACTGCCCCCAAACCACGTTACCTGGTCGTCCTTGGGAAGCGATTGGTTATCAATGAAAACCGCATAAAGCCCTCATAAGAGAAATATCAACTATGCTTCTTCTCCCAATACGAATTATGAGTACGTTGTTGTTGTTGTTGTTATGTGCCATCGAGTCATACCTGACTCATAGCGACCCCTCCTTGGGTTTCCGAGGCAGTATCACTACGGAAGAAGGATTGCCCAACCTTCCTCCCGAGGAGTGGCTGGTGGGTTTGAATCGCCAGCCGTCTGGTTAGCAGGCAAGTGTCTTAGCCACTAAGAGTACGTAGGGAAGGAAAAAGGTCAGAGAGCAAAGGTTAGCAAAAGCACAATGATAAGCCAGCTTCCTTAGCCGGAAGACCAGGCGGCCTGCTTTCCAGAGTCCGCAATTCAGCTCCAAGAAGAGCTACACCCAGAGGGCCGCGCCTCTCCGAGACTGTGCGTGTGTCAGTGCGCGTTTCTCTTACACCGCCCACGGGGTCTGGGCAGCCGTCACAAGCCACGATTGTTCGGTCAGCAGCAAACAACAGCTGATTTGACAGCCTCCCACCAACTAGACTTTCCACGCCTACTGCCAGTCGTCAATTTCATCGGGACCGGAAAGCCTTTTGCCCCGACTCAGGGACTCACCAACTAATGCAGGCAAGAACCGGAAGCTCTTCTGCCCCGATCTCGGGAGCGCGGTCGCAGGGAAGCTCCAGCCAAGTGGTAGGAGGGGAGGAGGAAGAATCGGAGTGGGGGGCGGGGCTGGTCCCAGAAGATGGCGGAGGCGGGGGTGAGTTGGGGTATCCCGGCGAAATGCGGGTGACTGAAGGTTGAGATAAGGGGTCTAATAAAGGGGTGTCCCAAAGGAAGAGGAGCTGCTTGTGTTTTTGCAAGCTGGGAACCCTGGTGGCAGGTGCGGGGAACCAGAACCACAGATGAAGATGAGGGCAGGCGTCGGGGCCTGCAGGACGAGGGGCACCACTTACCTGGAGAAGGGACGTCAAGGTCGGGAAGGGGACATTGGAGTCAGGGAGAGATCATAGGAGAGTCTGAGGCTCAGCGGACAGTGGAGAGTGTCCTAGCAGGAAGAAGGCTGGAGGACGGTGGGAAGGGCGACCCTGGAAGTCTGATGGGTGGAGGAGGTGGATGAGCTGTCAGGCGAATAGCTGTCAGGAGTTGGGAGGCCTGTGTAGTCAAGGAGAAGAGACACTGGCTTGGGACTGGGATACATCCAAAAAGGTAGGTATCAGAGTCTGTTTAGAATCTGCAAAAAGGTATGTTGACATTGAACTGAGGAGTGGGACTTTGGCGTCTGAATTAGAATTGAATACCTTCAGAATAGGTGTGTGAGTAAATCTAAAGAGAACTCTTGTCTGACCCTAGAAGTTAACCTTGGTGATAATTACTGGGATTTTGGGATTGGTTATGGGTGTAGAGAAAGGAGTGTGGATATTGTGTGTGAGAATATGTGTGTGTGTGTGTGTGTGTGTTAAAACTTAAGTGATAATAGCCTTCGTCCAGTTAGTGTTGAGAAGTGTTGAGGAAAAGTTGTTAGCTAGATTGTTTATGAAAATATAACATGAAGAGTTTGCTGTTTTGTAGGATTGATGAGGAATTGCTTTAAGGAAGAATGGATGGATTTGACAGCTGGGCCAATGAAAGTGGTCCAGATCAATAATGTAACAGAGCTGAGAACTGCAGGGGAAGAAGACATGTTTCAAATTGGGTTTAGGAAAGAATGCAGGCAGCAATCAGTGATTGACTAGATTGCATTTTCCAACTTTGGGGTTTGGCCCTGTTAGAGAACCATTGAATGGTAATGAATATACAGGCCCTAAAGGAAAAAAAAATTAGTCACGTACTCTTCCCATTTTCCACCTGTTCTTTCTCTGGACATTGTGTACAGTAGTTCTCAAAATATATCTGTTGTAAAGTGACCAAGATGCGAATCACAAATATTTGGGAAAGAGGTTGGTTCTTTTTAAATTGACAACTGTTGCTTTTATAGATGGTCTTGCTAAAAAGGAAAGGATAAAATGCAATCAGTACATGAAAGACTGTTTTCATAGTTATTAGAAACTTATTCCTAAATGATGGAATAACATTTTTATGGAAGAGATTTGACACTGTAAGTAGTAATAGAATGTGAATGGTACTTTCTTACGGATTTCTGTGCTTTGGTTTTAATGTTGAGTGGAAAGATGAGTTGCAGTGTCTACAAGGCAGACATTTTTTTCTTCCTAGAAGTTTTAATGTCTCTAGCCTATAAGCAACCTCATGATAAGTGGAGAAAACATTGAAGTTGTCAAGGATTTCATTTTACTTGGATCCATAATCAGCGCTATGGAAACAAATAGCAATCAAGAGATCAAACAATGTATTGCATTGGACAAATCTGTTGTAAAAGTTTAAAAAGTGCTAAAAAGCAAAGATGGCACTTTGAGAATTAAGGTATGCCTGACTCAAGCTATGGTGTTTTCAGTTACCTCATATGCATGTGAAAGCTAGACAACTAATAAGGAAGGCTGAAGAAGACTTGTTACATTTGAATTCTCCTGTTGGCCAAGAATTCTCCTGTTGAATATGCCGTGGACCGCCAGAAGACCAAACAACTCTGTCTTGGAAGAAGCATAGCCAGAATGCTCCTTAAAAGTGACTTCATCATATACTTTGGACATGTTATCAGGAGGGACCAGCCTCTGGAGAAGGACATTATGCTTGGTAAAGGGTCAGTGAAAAAGAGGAAGACCCTCAATGAGATGGATTGACACATTTACTGCAGCACTGGGCTCAAACATAGCAACAATTGTGAAGATGACACCTTGTTCTGCTGTACATAGGATCAGTGTGAGTTGGAACTGACTCAATGGCACCTAACAACAACAACAACAACAACAATAGCCTATGATTCTCGTTTGTGTGCTTCTGTTTACCAAAACCCAAACCCACTGTGTCTAGTTGATTCTGAGTCTGTGACCCTGTAGATAGCGTAGAACTGCACCATAGGGATTCCAAGCCTGTAATCTTCACAGAAGCGGACTGTACATCTTTCTCATGTGGAGCAGCTGTTGGGTTTGAACCCCTTGACTTTTGGTTAGCAGCTGAGTGCTTTAACCACTGTGCTACCAGGGTTCCTGTGCTTTTATTTAAGAAGGATTAAACTATTTTATTGATTTAAGGTAATTTGTAAGTTAATGAAAAATGCATTTCTTTGGTTTTCATAAACTGTAGTTTATCAGGGAGCTCTGGTGGCATAGTGCCTAAGGCATTTGACTGCTAACCAGAAGGCTGGCAGTTCAAACCCACCAGCGACGCATCAGAAGGAAGACTGGACAATCTAATTCCGTAGAGATACCACCTTGGAAAACCCAAGGAGGGGTCATTATGAGTCAGAACCGACTTGACAGCAGTGAGTTTATTTTTATTTATTTATTTTTTTAGTAGTTTATCAACATAACTTTAAGGATTGTTTCTTGTGTGGCACTTACATTGTTTTTGTGTAGTGTTTATGTTGCTGTTGTTATGTGCTGTCGAGTCGGACACGACTCATAGTGACCCTGTCTTGGGTTTCCCAGGCAGTATCACTAGAGAAGTAGGTTGCCCGTCTTCCTTCCGAGGAGTGGCTGGTGGGTTTGAACCGCCAGCCTTCTGGTTAGCAGTAAAGTGCCTTAGGCACTACAGTGTGGTGAAATGGAAAGAACACTTTGCATGAGAATACTGTGAGTTAGCCCTGGTAATAGTTTTGTAATCTTATGAAGTTACTTAAGCTATTTTGTTTTGTAAAATGGAGATTAAAAATACATACCTGCCTACTTATCAGGCATCTTGTTGAGGATCTATTGAACAATTGTCTTTTAATAGGTATTTTTATACTAGAGACTTCTTCCATGATCAGCACATTATTTATTGAGTAATGAAAATGTTTCAAATATAGGTGGTTTTTTTTTTTTTTTTTTTTTTAAGTTTTGGAGAATTGATGTGAGAATGATATTTAAGAGTATAGATACTTTTTTACTTGAAATAATACCTGTATATAATCAGAAAACCAAAGTTCAAAACAAACTTAATTTAGGAGATATTTATTCCCTAAACTTTCTCATTGAAACAATCCACTCCCCTAGTGTGTAACTCCACCAGCCACTCCTCGGAAGGAAGATGGGGCAATCTACTTCCGTAGTGATACTGCCTAGGAAACCCAAGGAGGGGTCGCTATGAGTCGGGGCCGACTCGACGGCACATAACAACAACAACAACAAGTGTGTAACTAGTATTATAATCATGTTCTTTTAGGAACTTCAGTTTTGCGTAGTAGGGGCGAATAGTCTTTTGGGATTTCCCATCTTTTGATAAGACTGGACATTTCTGGGAGTTCATGTAAATGTTTACTGTAGCAGGATCCAGTACTAATCTTCATCTTTCCAATTCACTTGAGTGCTTTGGGTCTCATTGCCTTAAAGGTAAAATGCAGAACTGTTAGGTCACTGGTTCTTAACTTCTTTTGGATCATTGACTTTGAGTACTTAATATAAACTGTAGAACTCTCTTTCCAGAAATATGTATGTATACATAAGGCCCCCCGTCCATGGGGTTCACATATTGCCTGAAATAAATGATTCCTCAGTTCCTTTCTGTTTCTTATATTTTAGTATACTGTGATTCTAAAGCATTTTAGTTTTTATTTTTGTCTCTGTTGTTGTTGTTGTTATGTGCCATTGAGTCGGATCCAACTCATAGCGACCCCTTCTTGGGTTTCGAAGGCGGTATCACTATGGAAGTAGATTGCCCAACCTTCCTTCCGAGGAGTGGCTGGTGAGTTTGAACTACCAGCCTTCTGGTAAGCAGTCAGATGCCTTAGGCACTACGCCACCAGAACTCCTATTTTTGTCTCTAGTAATTATATACTATTGTATTATGATATAATCACAGTCAGCTTTTGGATGTCATTCAAGTAAACATAAAACAAAAGTTCTGTTATTTTTAAAGAAACTTCTGGGGTGAAGTAGGGAATGTAAATATGCACTACCAGGAAAGGTTGAGTAAACTTTTGTGGCAGAATAACATAATTTAAAAACCTCTAATCAGTGACTCTCAGTGGGAGGATACGGTCTCCTTGGGGACATTTGGAAATATGTGAGGACATGTTTAGCTGTTACAGTGTTTGCGTGTGTGTGTTTATGCATGAGCTGGCATTTAGTAGGTGGGAGCCTGGGATGTTAAATATCTTCAACAAGTAATTGTACTGCCCCAAATGCTAGTGCCCTTTGACAAATACAAGTGATTATGAGATTATGAAACACTGAAATAACTGATGTTATTTTGTTGGTTTAAAAATATCGTTTGCTATAAAATATCCTTTGTCATTAATTCCCTTTTGGAAATATTCACAAACAGAAACAAATGCTTTCCTGGAGCAGTTAAGGTCATTCAAAACATATATTCATAATACTCCTAGCTGTTTTAGAAACAATAGGAAGTTTACTGTCTCTAATAAGAGTTTGGGAAGTGAAGAGTTGACTGTTGGTCTTACACAATATGTAAATTGGCCATTTAATTGTTTTTCTTTAAGACATCTTTTTATACTTTGATCTAGTGCTTTTAAAGAAAATGTTAAGGCAATTTGACATTTATTTGCACAGTCTTTGTACTATTCTACAGTTGTCTACTTATACCTTGAGAATATATTATAGCTGAGATAGTTTCCCAATGTCTACCCATCTTTCAGCAATCAAATCCCCTATGTAGACCCATACACCAAAAAACGGAAGTCTGGGAAGTCTGCCTCACTCGGGAGGACACATATATTATCTTATAAAGATGCTCAAGATATATTATTGTAGGGTGGCAAAGAAGTTATATAAATAGTCTGTATAGTATTTTCCCATTTAAAAACATTACTGTTTGTAGAAAACAAATAGCAAAATATGGGACAGTGGGGAGGCTGAACATCATGGTGAGTGTGAGAGTTTTGGACCCAGACTACATGAATATGAATCCCATCTCGGCCTCTTATGAGGGATGTAAACTTGGTCAAGTGACTTAACCTTTCTCTGCTTTATTTACCTCATCTATAAAATGGACATAATAATTGCACTTACCTGTTAGGATTATTTTGACAGTTAAATGGGTTGTCCTATGCCAGTTGCTTAGAAGAGCACATAGAAAGCTTCACTTAAAGGGGCTCAAATGTTGTTACTTGTCTTAATAACAACAACAACAACAAACAACAACAAAACAACAAACAACAACAACAACAACAAAAAACGCAAAAGAAAGATCACTTTGGTTTAAAGGGGTAAACGAATACCTAGACTGACAGGTTGCACTAGAAGAGTTCTGGGTTTTAGGAGTCAGGGCCCATGTGGATAAAACTCCTTAGAATCTAGCCATTGGCTAGATTCCAGCTATGGCTGGAGCAAGGGGCAGAGTGGATTTTTGTCAGAGATGGGGTACAGCTGTAGCCTTTGGGAGTGTGGGTCAGGTCTGGTTTCTACAGTTGGTGTTTATGTAGATAAGTGGCTGGTGGTCTATTCTGTGCAGAAATTCAAATATATGAGCATGAGACATTACACATGTCAGTTTGCTCTTCCATTGGGATTGTCCTTATAAACTAATCATACTTTATTGTAAAAAACACATTTTCATTTAGAATATGTTGATTTTTTTGTGAAGTATAAAATACTCTGTTGTGACTAGGGGGCTTGGAAGTTTAGGTGAAAAAAGCAGAAATGTGAGTTTTGATCTTCTGTATTCTAGTAGAAGCTTCTCAAGTAACCTACTCTAATTTTCTCTGAGGTGTGGCAAGCTGGTTTTACTACTATTCTAACTTTAAGTGTCTTAAGTCACTTATTCTCATAGCAGATACAAGTGTGTAGCACTCTATAGGAGCTCTGGTGGCATAGTGCCTAAGGCATTTGACTGCTAATCAGAAGTCTGGTGGTTCAAATCTACCAGCCACTCGGAAGGAAGGTTGGGCAATCTATTTCCATAGTGATATTGCCTCGGAAACCCAAGGAGGGGTCGCTATGAGTCGGATCCGACTCGACGGCTAGTGAGTACGTTTTTTTTAATGCATATTAAAATACTTTTAGAATCTTATTTATTCAGTAAATATCTAATTTAAACCAATTAGTGTACAGACTTGTTTCATGAATTACTCTTTCAAATTAATTAGTATTGAAAACAGGACAATTGTATATATCAGACACACACTGATTTCTTTTTTCTTATCTCTTGCAGGATTTCTGGTTGGTCCTATTTTAGGACCAGATGAGGTACTATTGAAGCATTAATCTGCTTGTATTTGCAGAAAGTTGTTGAGTTTTCAGCTGGGAACCTATATTTTCTGCCAGTTTACTGAACTTATGAAACCATGGTGGAAGGAGAGACAGAGTTACCTGGGCCCAAAAAGTGTGGCCCATATATTTCATCTGTCACTAGCCGGAGTGTGAACTTGATGATTCGAGGAGTAGTGCTGTTCTTGATTGGAGTATTTCTTGCATTAGTATTAAATTTACTTCAGATTCAGAGAAATGTGACCCTCTTTCCACCTGATGTCATTGCAAGCATCTTTTCTTCAGCATGGTGGGTACCACCGTGCTGTGGCACAGCTTCAGGTATGTGTGAGATATTTCTGTAATACTTCCAAGGGATATAGTGTGAATGTTGTCTGAGCTATAAACTTTTTTTTTTTATTAAGAAAAAGCTTTATTGAAGCATAATTTCAATACAAAACAATGGACTTGTTTTAAGTGAACAGTGTGATGAGTCTAGACAAATTCATACAGTCGTGTAACCACCACCACAGTCTAGATATAGAGCATTTCCATCATCCTGCAAATTGTCCTGTGCTCTCTTGCAGTCTATTCTCCATTCCCAGTACCAGGCTACCACTGGTCTGCTTTCTGTAACTTTAGATGATTTTTGACTATTCTTGAATCTGATATAAATGGAATCATAGAGTATGGACTCTTTTGTCTGGCTTCTGTATGAAATTAGGAAACTTTTAAAATTTTATCCTAAAAACAATTTTGAATCCTGTATGCATAGAGCATTCAACCTCTTAATTTTGTCCTTTCTTCAACCCAGTTCATATAAGTCTTATTTGAGGTTATCCTGATGGTGACACCACTGTTTGGTTTTAAAGTTTTGATGTATGTATTAGCATGTTTTTGAAGCAGATAAACACTTGAAAGATAGAATAGTTTTTTTCAGGTTTAAAGTTTCATGTTTTTTTTTTTTTTTTAATTTTTCCTTTTTTCACTTGTATTTTGTTTTTAAATATACCATAGTAATAATAAACATCGGAAAGAAGGTTGGGCAATCTACTTCCGTAGTGATACTGCCTCGGAAACCCAGCGTGGGGTCGCTGTGAGTCAGGTCTGACTCGACCGCACATAACAACAACAACAACAATAATAAACAAGCCGGGGGCAGTGGTGGTTTAGTGGGGGAACTATGGCTTTCTGTGTGGAAGATTCCCAGGCAGTGCACCTCATCCACAACCACCATTTGTCTGTCAGTGTGATACTGATCAGATTTAGGTAGAGTTTCCAAACTAGGAGGGAATAGGAAGAAAGACCTGGTGATCTACTTCTGACAAATTAGCCAGTGAAAATGCCATGAATCACAATGTTCTGATCCTGTGGGGTTACCATGCGTTCAGGCCTAACTCAATGGCAGCTAACAACAAAAAGAATAATAAATACCTACAGAAATCAATAAGGTAGACTTTCTTCGTATAAAAATGTTATTGTCCTATATTACTTTAGATCTATCTTTGGTGGACAGTGTGTAATAGCTAAAGGTGGAGCTATTTCAGAGTGCTTTATAGATGTTGAGGTTCCATAATGGATAGCACTTTAGCTTTTTCTAATGACTGAGGCCAAGAGATTAATAATTTACAATAAGGTTATAGAAGAAAGCCATAATCATGGGACAAATGTTTGATTGAGGGAGAAAATTGCTTTTTTTTTTTTTTTTTTTAAATTTCCATTGGGATTTCTTTTCCCCATGTTATTTAGAAGAATAATGCTTAATTTGAAAATATTTTGATATTTTTCGAGTATCTTCTTAAAATCTGTTACTGATTTATAGAATAATTTTTATAGGACATACTCTGAATGATGTTAATACTTGGATGTTTGTTAAGACTTGTTTTATGACCCATCCTGTAGTTCATTTGGGTTAATATTCCATTTTACTTTAACATTTATCTCATGTTTAAGTATGGTATTTGTTCTGATTACTATTACTGTGTAACAACCCACCAAAAACCTTAGTAACTTAAAATAATATCATAACTTTGTGCCTAAATCTATAATTTGGGCAAAGCTCACTGGGAAAAGTTTATTTTTTTTAATTGCTTTTTTGAACATCCATTTGGTGTCTCAGTCTTAATTATATACATGAATACCTTGCAGTATAACATAGGTGCTTCTTGGCTTACATCTTAGAACTGGAGATCAGAGGGTGAGGAGCTATAAGATATTTTAGAATGACCTTGTGAAACATTCTAAACATTACGTAATCCTGTTGCATAGATAGAAGGGCATTGTTACAGTAAGGCTTCAGTGTGGCTTATACATTGATGTTTCACTGTTAAAATATTTACTGTGTTGTTTTTTTTGGTAAGTCATAGTGTTTAGTACATGAAAGTGAAGATACCAGATTTCTAAAAGTTGCCAAAAATGGAAATCAAATTCTTGCATAATTTCCCCTCCTTTATTTAAGGGAAAATATCAAGGGAAAAAAGAGGCAAACCATGTAAGTAACATAATGTGTGGGAATTATACATGTATGTGTATATGTGTGTTTGTGTATGTATGTTTTTATGTATTTTCAAAGCTTTGTAGGTAATAGTTTGTACCACCTTCATCTAGAAAAACTGGTAATTATCTTTTGATTTTCTGATTGAATTAACATTCTGGGACCGAGCACCTAGGTTTTGGAGTGCCTCCAGAACCACCACTTTCTACCTGTAAACAGAAGGGCCCTCTGGTTATTTCTTGCCTTTCGTTACAGCACAGTTCTAGAAAATTTGCTAGTGGTGGTCTGGAGGGACAACTGGTAAATTTCTTTTGATCTCATTTTCTTAGTTCCATATTTTTAGTTTAATAATGGCTGATGTTAAAAGAATTAACTTCCTCATGTGTGCAATTTATTAGGATTGGCATTAGAAGCTTATTGAGCATTATTGAAGGCCACAAAGGAATCTTTCTCAAGAATTATTAGGATATAAAAGGCAACTGCTATTGGGTGGATAAAATAATTGTAGAATTGCCTCCAGAATCACAAGTAACCAACTTATGTCCATGCCTATGAAAACAGTACCTAATTTTATAAAGAAAAAAAAAATTCCCCTATTTAGCCATGTGGTTGGTTACCCAGTCCTGGAATGCACTGTAAGACTCCCTTGCTTTCTCCTCCCATGTCCAAGTTCCAAGTTTTACATCATTCCTCTGTTTTTTTCTTGGTCCAGGCCAACAGCCATTATGCTTGGAATTTTTGTCTTCTTTTTGTGTCTAATTTTGCCCATCCCCTCATCCTTACCATATGTTGTAAGAACAATCTCCCTTTCTCTGATACAGATCTGATTATTATCATTATTCTCCAGTGTCTTCAGGGTAAAGTCTTCTTTCAATATATCCCTTGTCTACTTTTTTGGCTGCTAACCTAAAGGTTGCAGTTCAAACCCACTAGCTGCTCCATGGAAGAAATATGAGGCAGTCTGCTTCTGTAAAGATTTAGAGCCTTGGAAATCCTCTGGGGTTGCTGAGCGTTACAATTGACTCAATGGCAGTGGGTTTGTCTACTTTTATCTTCCTCAGAGTCTTTTTGGACTCTGAAGCTCCCTTTGTGCTTAGAGTTTCTGGACAATATCAGATGTTTTCAATTGTCCCTGCTTTTCCTTAGGCAACTCCCTTTGATGAGAAATCTCTTTCTATACCATTCCACTTGGTGAACACTCCTGCCTCAAGGATCACCTCTTCTGTGATGTTTTCCTGTCATACCAGCACCCTCCCTTCCATCAACACATGCAAGGAGAAGATGACTAGGTCCCCACTGGGCCCTGTCAGTTTTACCTCTAAGACATTGTTGTGTTCATTTGTGTCTGTGGTCACTTAGGGACTGAGCCTGTCTTACTCTTTCTTCCTTTTAAATCCCTAGCAGCTACCAAGACCTAGACACATTATGGAGTTTAAGTATGTATTGAATGAAAAAATTGCCTTATTCTGTCATAGTTTTCCTAGAAATTAGATCCCACTGAGTGTTTTTTTTTTTTTTCCCCTCCGGCCCCTTTTCCTGAAAAATGTTTAATTTAACTACATTCCTTTTAGCACACACTGCATTAAGCATAACGCCATGAAAAAGTGATGACTTAATACTGATGTTTCACAGACTTCTTTTGTCTTTGCTCTTATAGACTGTAACTAGTCACTGGGAAATAACTTGGAGATATCACAAGAAATGGGATTTTGCATCAGAGAACCATCTGATTAAGCAGGGCTGTCTTTCCATATGATTTTACACAAGCATGATTTTAACAATCTCTCTTGTGAAAATAAGAAAGTGGAGCAAGAGGAAAAGGAGCCCAGACATACTTCTGCTGAGCTCTCAAATGGTAGAAGCTCACGGTGCTGTACATACTGTTATCTAACCCTGCCATGCCTTTATATAAAGGAAAGAAAGAAGACTTTTAATGGGAAGGGATGAACTTCCTTGAATTCTCCCTCTCAGTGAGCAGCCGAAAAACAAGCATACTTAATGGGTTTGATTTTTATTGGAAAATCCTGAGGTTGGCAGCAGGGAAGTTTAAATTCCTTTTTTTGGTTTTTGCTGTCTTTCTTCACTTATCTCTCACTTGCAAGTTTGACATCACAAGCATAAAAATATAGTCAATTTCATTTATTTATATCACAGTATTCTCTATGTGATAACTCTTTACCTAGGGCATCAACTGTTGAGGAATATTGACTTGAATGCATGATCTTAGTTGATTTTATTCAGCAGTAGGCAGAGGGAAGAGAGAAAGAGAGAAAGAGAAATGACAGATGAGCTAGTTAGTTTTATGACCCCTTGAGAAAAAAGAGGTAATACTCATTTAGATAAATTTCAACTGTTAGGCATGCTTGTTGCCAATTTAATTGTCTAGAATTTTGGAGAAATACTGTCAGGTAATCTCACAGGATTTTATAGTAGAGTCTTAAATAGAAATATAATGTGAAACTTAAAAATTTACTATTAAAATTTTAAATAGTTGTTTGAGCTCTAGATTGCTAAAACTTGTGGTTAATCTCTTGGTGGTCTACAAACCATGTATGCTTGGCACATGTCTCTCAAAAGACCACTCTCAGGTTTGTGGACCAGAAAGAACATATGCTATTGCAGCGTCTCTCCTCCAGATGGAAGGGAGAGTCATGCAGTCCCATTCTAATGGTGATTGGTTGGTCTGCTATTTATGATTTTTTTTTTTTTAATATTAATTGATTTCTGTTTTCTCTTGAAGATTGAATGGATTGCTTGTGAGATAAGCTAGCCAGTACCAGACCAGGGAGGGGCTTCTGAGACTCAGGTGCTTTGATTTTGGTACAATAATTTTATGAGGCATCATACATAGTATTTGACATTTTAAACTTACTTTCAACTGATGTGATAGTTTTGTCTTTATTACCAGAGTGTCACCATGTTTATTTTGTTTAGTAATATTAGCAAATCAAAGCTGCCTAGCTATTTCCTGTTAAACTTAATCTATAGAAGTACGTTTTCCCAATAACTTGTTGAAAAGTGTTTTGAAGGAGTCTTAAATGTAGATTTCTGTTTTGTGCTTCCCTGCTTTGATAATATGACATTCAGGGAGGACCACGGTGGCAGTGAGTTAGACCTCAGGACAAAGCATTGGAGGGGCCAAGCTGGTCTACATAATGGGAAAGCCAGAACCTTCAGAACGTTATGCATACGACGACCTTGTTGCACATGGTTATGCTTCTTGCTATTCCTTAGATTTGTGGCATTTAATAGCACGTTCTATGGTTATATAGCTTAAAGAGGCCATTGCTTAACTGGTAAGTGGTATAATGCTTTTCAAATCTCATAGATATTGTAGCAGAAAAGTAGCATGAATCTATCAGTAGTCCAGTCTGCTCAATTATGAATCATACTGTTAAATAGTATTTTGCCTACTATAATTTACAATATTGTTGTGATAGTTTATAATACTTTCTTCAGGGGCATTTCCATACACACATACGCATACATATCTCTCTCTCTCTATATATATAGATATATAGATATATAGATATATAGATATATGTGTTGTTATGTGCCCTTGAGTCGGACCCGACTCATAGCGACCCCTCCTCGGGTTTCCAAGGTGGTATCACTATGGAAGTAGATTGCCCAACTTTTCTTCCAAGGAGTGGCTGGTGGGTTTGAATGGCCAGCCTTGTGGTTAGCAGTCAAGTGCCTTAGGCACTAGGCTATATCTATGTTGTTGTTGTTATGTGCCCTCGAGTTGGACCCAACTCATAGCGACCCCTCTTGGGTTTCCGAGTCTATATCTATATATCTCTCTATATATCTATATCTATAGATATCTATAGGAGCTCTGGTAGCATGGTGGCTAAGGCACTTGACTGCAAACCAGAAGGCTGGCGGTTCAAACCCACCAGCCACTCCTCGGAAGGAAGGTTGAGCAATCCTACTTCCGTAGTGATACTGCCTCGGAAACCCAAGGAGGGGTCGCTATGAGTCAGGGCTGACTCGACGGCACATAACAACAACAACAACAACATAGATATCTATATATGTATGTATGTATGTGTGTATATATGTGTGTGTGTGTGTGTGTGTGTAAAATTCGGAGCTCTGGTAGTGTAGTGCCTAAGGCACTTGACTGCTAGCCACGAGGCTGGCAGTTCAAACCCACCAGCCACTCCTTGGAAGGAAGGTAGGGCAATCTACTTCCATAGTGACACCACCTTATGTTGTTGTTGTTGTTATGTGCCGTCGAGTCAAACCCGACTCATAGCGACCCCTCCTTGGGTTTCCGAGGCAGTATCACTATGGAAGTAGGATTGCCCAACCTTCCTTCCGAGGAGTGGCTGGTGGGTTTGAACTGCCAGCCGTCTGGTTAGCAGGCAAGTGCCTTAGCCACTATGCTACCACCACCTTATACCACCTTGGAAACCCAAGGAGGGGTCGCTATGAATCAGGTCTGACTGGATGGCACATAACAACATATATGTAATTATTTTGGGAGGTAAGTTTTAAAAAAATCAATATATGATGTTAAGTAACTTGAAGAGCTTTTTTAAAAAGAATCTTCAAAATGCATATGTAGTTACTCTTTTTGCTTAAGTATTGTTGCCAGTACAACATTAGAGATGACTTAATTTTTTTTTCTTTTTTTCCATAGCTGTGATTGGGTTATTATACCCCTGCATTGACAGGCATCTTGGAGAGCCACATAAATTTAAAAGGGAGTGGTCCAGTGTAATGCGATGTGTAGCTGTCTTTGTTGGTATAAATCATGCCAGTGCTGTATCCTTTACGCTGTAATGAAATGCATAATAACAAAGCAGCTTCCAACCAAAGGTTAAACAGCCCTTTGCAACTTCCCTGTTCTCAAATTGTAATATGCCCACTTAGTCATAAAAAGAATGTGAATGGTGTTGTTGAAACATCACAGGAGTAGCTATGCAATTAAAGTTTAAAGTACTGTATAACCTTTCATTTAAATCCTTCTTTTTGATATCACTTAGAAACTGTGCACATTTTTAAAATGTATGCATTTGCCTTAAACTAAGATGCTTCATTGCTTCCATACAGTTTTGGGAATTCTAAGATTGAAACAGGTATGTTTTAAAAGTATTTTTTGCCTCTTCATTTGAAAGTTGTCAATAGGTGGTGGCTTCAGGTACTAGGTGTTTGTTTTTGCTTGAGTTTTTAATTTAAAGAAATCATATATACTTTTTTTTTAAAAAAAAAGGCAGGCTGTCATTGTTTGGTTTTAATCAACACCAATAAACCACATAAATGTTCTTAAAGGCATAAAAAGAAATATATAGCTTACACCTTGGTCAAAAAGAACATGATCCCCACCTTCCCTACCAAGGTACATATTTTTAAAGTTTGATTGTTTGAGGATTCTGGTCATTTTATTTAGTTGTTGTTGTTAAAGTAGCCTCTATTTTCTTTCTTCCCTCTGTCTTCTACCTCCAAGGAAGGAAAAAAAAAAAAAAAATTCAGATCTCTAGAACAATAGTTTTGCCCTTAAAGGTTTTTATCCTGTCACCCTCCCTCCCTTTCCCCCACCCCATAACCCTGCCAACTTCCCTTTATAGAAGAGGCTCTGGGAAACTCTAATCATGGCTTCTCTTTTCTAGAAGATGTGGTTTGGAGAGTGGAGGTAACAGGAGTCTTTGGTCTTGGGAAGAGCAGGAAATGTAACTCAGACTGTCAAAGGTTTGCTCTTATAACTGCATTGGGCTGATGGCTGGCACAATTAGCTGGAGAGAGAGGTTGGATCTTGTAGCAAATAGATTCCTGTGTCTTTTACAGGAAAGAGTTGAGATGTTTTGGAGAAGCTAGGGAACAAAAACTACAGAAAGAGGCAGGGTCCTGGATTCTGAAAACATACCTGCCTTCCTGTGCCCCAGCTGTGCTGGTCCTTGGAGATCCATGACTTTGAAAGTCCCTCAATGGCTGTTATTATTTTGGTTTCTCATTTCAGATTTATCTTTTTGTATTAGATAATTTCCTGATGTGTTTATTTTGGTGTTCTATTTGAGATTTACAATTTTATTTGAAAAAAGTAGTGGTTTGGAGGGCTTGAAAAGATAGAATCATAGAATATTGTATCTATGAGAGAATTTAGAAATCTTCTAGTTTAATGTTTTCCTTATAAGGATAATAAGATAATGAAAACTTGCAGTGGTTAGGTAATTAGCTAAGTCACTCATACTGCACAGCTGTGGTAGAGCTGAGCTCAGACCCCGGGGATCTTGATTCGAGTCTAGAAAAAACAACATCTCATTCTCCAACCCCAGGCACCTCAAGTGTGTGAATTCCTTTCTCTCTGATAGAATTAGACCTTTCTATCCCAGACATTCCCACTGTGATTTCTGTTTTTAAATAGAGAAATTTAAGCACGTTTTCTGGGATTTTTAAAACAGCATATTTCTAATTTAAAGTTTTTGCTTTGGTCACTCTTTTCTTTCTTTCTGAATAATATGCTGAAATACATCAATTTTAGCTGTCCTGTCCTTTAGCAAAATCCAAAACTTTTACAAAATTTGGAACATTTGCTTTTACTATTAGTTTACTTAGACTTTAGAAAATCATATAGTACTACTTTTAAGCTTGATTTTTTTTTTTTACCTGTTTCCCCTGGAAACCTGCTTTTTTTTTGACTCTTAATGAGATTAATTAGCAAAGATGCTACCTATTTAATATTAATTTTACTCTTCACAAGAATGTTTGTTAAGTAGGGAAAAATCAGAGCTAATAATGTTTTCTTTAGTGTTTTAGGTATAAGGCAGCTGAGAAAAATAAGAGAAGGCTTTCCATAAAGCATACTCAAAAACTGTAGGTTTTTGATAACTTAAGCCTAACCAAGGAGTGCCCATGAGGGAGTGGCCTACAACAGCCCTCAGGTGCTGAGGAGAAGCAAGCTGGGTGTCCAGGATGCTGGCTGGTGTGGGAGGGGTTGAGAGGGACAAGCCAACAAGGTGTTTAAGGAAAATGGGAAATGGCTTTATATGCATTTTGAGCACTTCTGCTCTCTTGTCTGAGGTTGCAGAAAGGCCAGTTAGTTTGGCAAGATACCTAGTAGCCCCAAGAGAGCTGGTTATAACTGAAGAGTCAAGATGTGGCCTTTGGGACATAGATAATGCCCTTTTAATGACACTTGAAATTAATTCCTTTAGTATAATCCTGTGGCAAAGAAATGAGAAAATTGAATTTGTAAAGCTTCATTTTGCCCAGAGATTTTGGAGTGAAAAAGAGCCATTTATTTGTGAATAGATGCTTAAGTAAATGACGGAAATAAAATATCATTTGAGCAAACGGTCCTATACCAGAAAGTCTCAGGCACCAAAATAGCTTGGCAGGTTGCAAGATAATGTTCACTTCAAGGCTTTATCCTCAACAAATTAAAACTAGAACAGTTGACATAATAGAAAGGGATACTGTGTCCTTGGTACTCTTGTTTCTGAACTGCATTATTATAAAATGTGTCTGTCAGTAAATCATATAGAGAACATGGTACCCTGTTAAATAGCTGTCAACTCTTTTATTTTCAAGTTCCTGTATGATTCTCAAGTAATTCTAAACCTGTTTGAAAAGTAATATTGGTTTCTTTTTTAGCAAGAGTGTGTGCCTTTAGCAATATTTGTGTTCTGAGGCTTCTAGCTACATTTTTAGCAAATAAAGCATTTCTTATATAATGGACCTGATTTTATAATTGGGATTATATAGAGAATGTAGTTTTGTGCAGGGGCTTCAGGTCCATCGGGTCTATAATGAAGTATCGTGTTCTGTGTGTACCTTGAGTAAATACTAGAAACAGTTTTAATCCCACCTAATCTGTCATTTTATATTAAGATACTGAATTAATTCTAGAGTCAGCAGTTAATTCCTTCTCAACATTAGCATCTCGTATTTTAGACATATGATAGGTTGACATTATTTGGCCATAAGTTTTATGATGACTCTTTAACACTGATCTCAGAAAGTGGATTTTGATAACAACATACAGTTGTCTCTCACACTGGCTGCACTCTCCATTGGACTGTGGTGGACATTTGATAGATCTAGAAGTGGTTTTGGCCTTGGAGTAGGAATTGCTTTCTTGGCAACCTTGGTCACTCAACTGCTAGTCTATAATGGTGTTTATCAGTAAGTATTATTTCTTTGGTTGCTTATTTGCAAGCTAAATAAATGATGACTGAAGTCAGAATTGAGATTTTGAAATTGGTTTAGCCACTTTAATCTACGGAGTAACTTATTTTCATTATAATTATCTTCTTAGTACATGTCATTGTACTTGCTTTGCAGGCTGTTAAAAATCTTTCTGTCATTCTAGATATACATCTCCAGATTTTCTCTATGTGCGTTCTTGGTTACCCTGTATTTTTTTTGCTGGAGGCATAACAATGGGGAACATTGGTCGACAACTAGCACTGGTAAGCTGTGTTTATTTAATGCCATTTTGGTTACTGAGTCATATGACAAGTTTTCTCTAAATGACATTACTTCTTTGAGAGCAATTTGTGAAGATACCATTCTTTTATTTCTCTTTGCATTTCCATTGAAATTATTTGGAAGAATTTCATCACTGGTGTATTAAAAGTTGAAGCAGTCACTGGATAGAAAAGTTAAAATGTGTTATGGATATGGTGATATGTTTTATTAACCAAACTGGAATATTAGAGTTTGTATTTCTACTGCATCACAAAGGAACACTGTCAAAAGTGAAATAGGGCATGCTGTGACCAGCATGATGACAGTGGGGAAAGGAAGGACACTGAAACATGCATGTAAGATATAGACAACAGAGGCAAACTATTGCATGCACAATACTGCATTACTGCTAGCATCAAATACCAGGTTATGGATAATTACATAGACAGGTGAGAAGATCAGGTGGGGGTAGGCAAATAGGAATATACGCTAGACCAAGGATAGATTTGGCTGAAGATAATCTTACATATGTACTTCTGCTACAAAATTAGCTACATATATTACAGAAGCAACAGAAGGCAGAGCTGGAGTAACTTCTCAAAGACTACCAAACATCTTGAGAGAGAGAATCACTGGGTCTGTGGGCTTGGGACCATAGTCTCAGGGAACATGATATTCAATTGGCACAACATAGTACATAAAAATCTTGTTCTACAACCTACTTTGGTCAGTTGCAACTGGGATCTTAAAAGCTTTTGAGGAGCCATCTAAGAGGAAATTATTTGTCCCCTCTCATCTGGAGCAAAGAAAATCAAAGGCATCTGGAAACAATTAGTGCAAGGATAAGATGGACAGTGATGACCTCAGACTTCATGACCCTGAGACCAGGAGAACTAGATGATGCTTGGCTACCAATGCCAACTGCTTGGAAAGGGACCAAAACTGGAGATCCTAGATAGAGTGGAAGGAAAAATGTGAAACAAAATTCAAAAAAACAAAAATGACCAGAATTATTGGTAGGATAGAAACTGCTAGAACCCCTGACACTATGGCCCTGGGTTACTCTTTGGACCTAGAAATGGACTCACTTCTATGGATTGGCTCTCAGCCCAATAATAGAAAGACCTACATGCAGAACACCTACCCCAGGGTGATGCACCCACCTACTCTAGGGAGATGCACCCCTTAGGTCAATCAGCTATTAGACACCAGAGGGCCAGCATTCATATTGAGGGAAAGCTGGACAGATAGGAATGCATAGTTAAGAAGGCACAAGGAGGGGGTAGTCACGGGGTAGGGGGAGGACAGTTTTTTATGGTTAGAGATGGTAATTGGGGCTGTGAAATCAAATGTGAGTGAACTATTGAATGTAACTCAAATTTGCTTTGTAAATTTGCACCCAAAGCGCACACACACACAAAAAGAAGCAGCAGTTAACTTCATTAACCATTAAAAAAAAAAATCACTTCTGTCAAGTCGATTCTGATTCATAGCGACCCCTCCTTAGATTTCCAAGGTGATATCTCTGTGGAAGTAGATTGCCCAATCTGCCTTCCGAGGAGTGGCTGGTGAGTTTGAACCATTAGCCTTCTGATTAGCAGTGCCTTAGGCACTACGCCACCGGAGCAAATTAAAGTCCCAATGAGATATTATTACACCCATTGGAATGGCTAAAATAAATAATAATACCAAATGCAAATGAGGTTGCAAAGAAGTTAGATCACTCATACATTCCTGGTGAGAATATAAAATTATACAGTCATTTTTGCAACACTAGACAACAGTTTTGAAATTTCTCAGTAAACTGCACATGCAATTGTCATATGGCCCAGCAATTGCACTTTTGATAATATATCCCAGAGCAGTGAAAATCTATGTTTACAAAGAAAAAAAAAGGGCACAACTAACAATTATGTTGCTATGATAGATATAAATTAGAATTATCCCCAGCAAATCAAGATGTTTGATAATTTTAATTAGGAAGGAAAAGGACATTGTTGATAACCCCAGTGGCAAAGTTCAGGTAGTAGCATTCGGAGTCTACAGAACTTTCCTGAATAAACAGTTTACCATTTTACCCATGGAGCATTGATGGTTCAGTGGTAAAATTCTCATTTTCCATGTGGGAAACCTGCGTCTGATTTTAGCCAATGCACTTCATGCACAGCCACCCATCATCAGTGCAGATTTGTGTGTTGCTATGATGCTGAACACGTTTCAGCAGAGCTTTCATACTAAGACAGACTAGGAAGAAAGGTGTGTCAGTTTACTTCTGAAATCAACTAATGTAAACCCTATGGATCACAGAGTCCAATCCAGTTGTGTAGGGGGTTGCCACAAGTAGCAGCCCAATTTGATGGTATCTGACAACAACCACTACCACCATTTTACCAGCTAGGAGAATTGAGTGTTTACTGTCTTTTGATAATGTAGCCATCCAATTATCCTAAGCCAATTGGTCTCCTTTATTTTTAATTGTGGTTATACATTTTAGTCTACATTAGTATACATTTATACTTCTAGTCTTGACTAGAAGTTTTTGCTATTGTATTATTATTTTTTCATTTATATCTTAAAGTATATTTTAAAAATTACCTGAATTTATTGCATCAATCCTGTCTTGAGGATCATGACCTTTCCTTTACTGATTAGCCTTGCTGAGGACTCAAAGAAACCTGCTTTGCTCCCTTTCTCTTCTTTTCTGTTCATATTCTGGTGTTAATGTAAACCATACTGCTATCATTTGCTTGTCATGTAGAAACCTTGTCTTTCTTCTGCTTTTTGGCTATGCATCTTTCACTTTTAGGATGTCTCTTTTTCCTTTTTCCCTATCACATTTTTCATTTGACCATAATTCATAATTCTCAAATTCATTGAGGACTAAAGTATTTGTAATAATGTATTAATTTTATAGCCTTTTAGGTTATTTGGAAATTGCTATTCAAAAGAAATCTTAATCTGTTAATCTTTTACTTTTTGCAGTATGAATGTAAAGTCATCGCAGAAAAATCTCATCAGGAATGAAGAATGCAAAACTGTATCTTTTTACAGAAAACAAGATGAACAGGGCATGTAAATGATACATATACCAACAAACTTTGGACTATTGTTTTCCCTCTATTGGTATATATATATCAATAATATTCCAGAATTATATATATTACTGCAATCTGTGATTGCTTCATCTGTAAATCAGTTATAAACCTTCATGTATTTGAATTAAATAACTGTAAAATATATATGTACTACATTAAAAACATGTTGATTAATAGATGAGATTTTTTAATTAATTTTTTAAAACATACCAGTATATTGTATTTCACTGTTGATGTGCCAAAATATTCTCTTACTGTCATGCAGAGTATAAGAATGCTTTGAATAATTTATAAATGTAAGGAAATGAAATAACAGAAAGCCAAAAAAAAAAAAAAAAAAACCAGCTGGTATTTTTTCTTTCACTTACTGTTGTGCCTTTTCATTTTTCTATTTACAGTAGTGAGTTATGGGTGCCCTAATATGTGGTTAGCTTTCATTTTATTTTTTTTCAGAGAGTTTTGGGTGTTTTAATATTTGATGAAAATGAACTTCCAGAGAATGTTTTCAAACCTGCATTACTGGAGAGTCCAAAGAATAATTTTCTGTTTAGGCAGATGTTCCTGGAGATATATGTGATAACCAGGAGAGATTATCAGCATTAAATTGTTTTGAGTCTATATTTGGAAGAATTTATAGAGATTATCTAAAATTAAAGGCCATTAGAGAATTTGATTAGAATCCGTACATGTTTTGGAAATACAAAAGGAACTTCTGCAGTGCCATACTGTGTAAAGTGTTGTTAGCTGTCATTTGGAATCTGGTATCTCACTGCTTTAGCACATGGAGCAAATAAAAATCCCAAACAGATCAAAATAAAGTTTCAAATTCTGTTGGGTTCTGTTATTGTGTGGCAGCAAATCACTTAAGCTGAATTGATGTCATATGATTTATTGTCATATGCCTACATCTGCAACCTTACGTGCATTCTGGAAAATGGATGGGTATGTAATTTATGTATTTTGATGCCCATTAGTAAACAGTTCAAGTCTGTTTAAGAATGCATTGGTATGGTATTCTGTGCATGTGAAAGATCTTGATAACAGTTATGGGCATATATTTTTAATGATTAGAGACATGTAAGTTTGATTTAAACATATTTAGCTAACTTCTACACCCACAACTTTTATTTTTTAAATTGATGACAGTTGTCTGAAACACAAATGCAATTTTTTCTAAATACTTTGGGTGTGTGTGTGTGAGTGTTTTGGAGTAAGAGAGCGAATGTGTATGTGTATATATGTGCATTGCCCATGTTCTCCTAGAATGTCAAATAGATACTTTTAATTTTTGACTTCAAAAACACTGCTATCAGATTAAAACCTTGTATGCCAAACTTGAATTTGCTCTTATATGTTAAGGCTGAAATTGTGAAAATCCTAAAAGGATTTCATATTGAATATATGTGCACAGCCATAACTATAGTGGTGTAAACATACTGCTATAATTTATTATTCTATCTTCCAGATAATGTGCATTTAGAACAAATAAGGTATATTTTTAGAATCTACTTTGTAAGCATTATAAATTCTTTAATAAGTTACATAAGATCTATGATGTATTTACTTTGAAAATTGCTGTTAAGAGCAAGATGTATTAAATATATAATTATCATCTTGGTTAAGAGTCTTTGTTTCCTCTTTGTGATAAGTCTTAGAATTTAATTCTGTGGATTAATTTAATAAAATTAACATGTGAAATTTCCAAGAAATGATGAAAGGAATTTTAGTATAGGGGAAATTGAAATGATTATCACTGGTGATCTTAAATTACTTTTACTTTATATAGAAATAAATGACTAGAAAATTATGGCAAAAATTGTTTTTACAATCTGATAAATATGCTTATTTTTTACAGTGAAAGTGATGGAAAGTTTTAACATGACTATATTGGCAGTACTTCTGTGCTTTTATTATTTAAAGTTACAGAATTTAGGCAACTGAGACTAAATTCTACAACAAAGCAATTAAGATTAACTAGCTAGAGCCCTTATACTTACGTTGTAAAGGTTATTTGTTTTGCATTGAGCTGTTTAGCTCCATTGAGGTCATTGAAACCTCTCAGTGGTACATACAATTCACACAATCTTTTATTTTCTGGGTGGGATTCAGACTTGGTCAGTATCATTTCCTACCTCTTTATTCCTCTTGGCTAATTTTTTTTAACTTGTTAAATAATTTATTCCTAAAAAACTTATGACTTCACTATTTCCTTCTAATTGCTCAAACTGCTTGTTAAATAAGCTCTTTTATCATAATAATAGTTCACATCAAGTTCACCAGTATGTAGATCTCAGAATCTACTGCTCATTGTCTAGAAAATCAGATGACATTTATTTGTGTAACTTGTTTTCTGTCCATCTCCATTTTATATATATATATATATATATATATATATATATATATATATATATATATATATATATATATATATATATA